GTATAGTGCTGCAAAATTTCATGGTGGTAACTGTTTATTGTTTGCTATTTTATATTAATAAGTGGTTCTGGATGGTAAGCGAATATCCTTGTATTTGATGTTAGAGCCATAATGCTCATCGTGATTCTCATAGTGGTTCTCGATGTGATTGAGATTGTAACTGAAGATCCCAATTCTGACAAGAATTGAGGTTATTTTCTCAATTGCAGTCAACAAGGGGCACAAAAGTTGCAATTTTGTGTTTGGTTTAACTTCCTAAGCCTACGATAGCCAAGCTCATGTTCAGTTTGGAAGGCTCGTGTTTTATATGAATCTCAGTAGAATAAGAAAGCTATGTCTTATATAAACCAGTACAAGTCATACTGATGAGGCCTCAAAGTATTAGCAAAAATTAAAGTAGGAATGTTTTTATTTGGAAGAATATTGAGGTTATAACTTATTACGGCCTACTTAGGCTATTAGCTGAGCTGCTCTTGTAATTTGTAGGCTCTGCAAGCTTGACCCTATCCCTAATTGTGAGTTGTAATTGGTGAAGGACTGAGCTTCTTTGATCATTCTATTTTCTTTGCTTTGGATCTCTTTCATATTGCTCCGGCTTCATTAAATCCACAAGAACTCTTTCTTAATTCCTCAAGATTTCTTCATTATAATAAATATGTGTAACATTCCTTTTGAAAGAGCTTTCAAGTTTGCAAATTGAGACAAATAACTATGGTATAAATAAAAATCTGAGCTCCCTGCCTTTGGCTTAGTTTGAAAATTCTTGGATGGTCTGAACAGAAATTGATTTGGGGTCTTCTGCTAACATGAATTGTCATAAGGTACCGTCCGAACAAGAAACAATTGCATAACAGATAATCGATTGAATAAAAGTTTGAAAAAAAAGGTTTGTAAAGTGAGAGCCAGAAAGAGTATACAAATTGAATTTGAGAGAGATTTAAAAGAGTGGTAAGGAGATAAAAAGGAGAGGAGAAACATGTGAGTAGAAAACATATAGGTTTGAGAAAACTTTAGCAAAGGAAATAAGTAAAGTTTGCGAAAACACGAGTTGATTAAATAATAAATTTAAATAATTACTAAAATGCTAAATCGTCAATCATCAAGAATCCGACTTGTTGATGCTCGTATATATGGAGACCTCATTATTACCATTTATTCTTCAATCCTTATCTGCCTGTTGTGTTGGCCAATGCAGAGTTTGACTGTGATTAACTTCTGCACTATGACTCCTTTATGCATGCTAGATTCTGTATGCTAATGTCATATTTTGTCTGTCTTCTCATCTGGATTACTTCCATTACTAAATTTGATATTTCTTTCTGCCTGAGATTACATCTATGGGTTTTATTTGCTCAGGTTACGGAGTACACAGTTTGCTGAGATGCCATTCATTGGAACTCGTCACATTTATAGGCGTCAAGGGATGTGCCGTCGACTTTTCTCAGCCATTGAGTCGGTATGGCTGCAAATTTCCCGCTCAATGTATTCTTAAAATTTCATGTTTTATGTGGAAAATCCTGCAATTTCCATCCAAAGGGTATATAACAATAAGGTCGGCAAGCATTACATTAATGTTCATGGAATATTTCCATCTTTGCCGGTGAGATGTGTACTTTTTTCAAGTTTGTACCTGAGTGATTCCATATAGTGTCTGTGTTATTACATGCAGCAAGTTGCTTGCTTCCCACCCACAGGGTGGTAATCTTATTGAGTTCGCGCAAGGATTTTCAAAATTGCAGAGCCATGATGATTCTTGATCATTTAGTTACTGTCAATGAATGGAATTGATATCTGAGGTGTGCTTGCTTATTGTTGAACTTGGAATCTCTGCAAATTGACTTTTGAGCAAATGCCTGGTTACTTCAGCTTCTGAGATTTTATTGTTTGTTGATACACTCCCATACGACTTCTTGATTGCAAGATGCATTGACATTTTTTTTGTAGTACATGCTATCTACATTTGTAATGATGAGGTTTTTTCTTCCATGTCCCAGGCTCTCCGTTCACTTAAAGTTAAGAAACTGCTAATTCCTGCTATCTCCGAGTTGATGGATACCTGGACTACTGTTTTTGGTTTCAGTACTCTTGAGGAATCAGATAAGCAAATCATGAAGACAGGAAACATGTTGGTGTTTCCAGGAACTGATATGCTCCAAAAGAAGCTATTGGGTCAAGACATCAGTAATAGAGACTTAGCAGGTAAACACTTGTTTGAAAGGTGATTTGAATAGTCTTGTACACTGCTTCATTGAGTTTTAATAAATGATGCATAATTTTGTAGTGGCAGGGGCACATTCATTTGAAACTGACCAGAATGCCTCAGTCATGCCTGGTTTAGGAAAGAGATCTGATCTTTACTCCCCTCCCGAGCTTTGTACTGCTGCGGCAGAACCAGAGAAAGAAGAGATGAAAAACATACCTGTTACTGATTTTGGTTATCATGATGCCATTTGCACAGACGATAAATTCATGCATAGTGCTCATGCAGAATGCTGTGACAAAGTTAATCCTTTGCCAACTGAAAATGAGGAGATAAAAGAAAATTCTGCTACTACTAGCTCAGAACTGCAGCTGGATACCAAGCTCAACGAGTCTGTCGGTGATGAGAAGGATCACATTTCTGCTGGTGCAAATGTAGAGGTTGCTACTCCATGTGATTCCAATGACAATAAGCCTTCATCGCATACTGCTTCTGTAGCTGTTTTCAATGAAGCTGAGCCACTAGTTTCAAATGAAGGAATCTTAGAAACTACATGCTCTGAACAGCTGCTGGACACAAAGCTCAATGAGTCCATTGGTGATGTGAATGATCATATTTCTGCAGATGCAAGTGCAGCAACTGCCGCCCCACATGGTTCCTGTAAGCCTTTCCTAGAAACTGATTCTGCAGCTTTGCCTGTGTCAGGTGAAGTTAAGCCACTAGTTTCAGATGAGGGAATTTTGGGGTCTACAGCCACTGGAAAGCAGTTGGATAACAAATTCTATGAGTCTGCTGGTGATGTGAAATTACCTGTAGATGCAAGTGAGGAAAGTTTTTTGGATGATTCCACTGTAAGCCATTATGTAGGGGTATCTGCTGACTGTAAATTGACACAGGGAGCCAACATGGGTGTTGCTGAATCACGGTCACCACCTGCAAATGGTAAATTAGCTGTTACTTCTGATAATGATCTGATAATTGAGTTTCAAAGTAGTGATAATGAATACCAGAGGGATGAGGTTTTATTTTCCGAAACTGAATCTGTTGCTCATGGGAAAGATCACTCTTTATCAGAAGAACCTCATATTGATGTTTTAATGGATAAACCTATGATAGAACCCACAGCTGAAGATATTATTCGTCATCCTCCAGATGTTCAAACAAATGACTTTCATGTAGTCCCAGAGGAAAATGATGTTTGTTCTGGTTCACAATCCTTGCATCATACTGATCTAGATGCAGCTCATGAACCCAAGATCCATGTTTCTGGCTACACAGCTGCTTACGAGAATGCTCACTCTTTTTCGGAAGCATCTCGTGTTGATGTTGTAATGGAAAAACTAATGATAGACCCTATAGCTGAAGATAATATATTCCATCGTCCAGAAGTTCAAGCAAATGATGCTCATATAGTCCCTGCTGAAGCTGATGGTTGTTCTGACTCAAAATCCTTGCATGTTTCCAATAATAATGATTTAGATGCAGCTCATGAACCAAAAATCCATGTTTTTGGAAATTCTGCTGTTAATGGAAAAGATCTCTCTTCATCAGAAGCATCTCATGTTGATGTTGTAATGGAAAAACCTATGATAGAACCTCCTGAAGATAATGTTTCTCATCCTCCAGAAGTTGAAGTAGATGATGCTCTCCCAGCTGAAATTGATGTTTGCTCTGTTTCACAATCCTTAAATGTATCTGACAATATCAATCAAGATCCAGTGCATGAGATCCGTTTTTCTACAAATGTTATGGAATGTAGTCAGAGCATAGAAGCAATGCCTGTTGATGACAGGGCATGCAAATCTCCACAACACGAAGGTCTTAGTACCAGTCCAATAGAGAAGCCTGGGATGGCTGAGCAGCCAACTTTAGAAGGTGAGGTGCAGCATTTGGAAGTTGCTAATATCCAACCAATGGGTAATTTTCCTTGTGAAGTTTCTGTCAATGCTGCTGATGTAAACACAATTAGTAGTGAGGATCCTCCTCTTGTTTCAGATGATGGCAGCATTGGAGTTACGGGCTTGTTGTGCGTCTCTGAGTTCCATGATCAAGGTATTATGTAAATTAGACATCAGATGATAACAGTGGAGACAGGAGTCACCTGTGCTAGAAAAGCATTGAGGTGAGCTTGACATATCGTAGATTGGGCACATGTTGATGCTTAGTTTGCTCCATGTGAACTGTGGATGAAAGTTTGGGAAAAGTTCTGGAATCTGACGACTTTCCATCATTTTCAACGTGGTTGGGGTGTCGTTAATCAACTGGTCTTGAATTCCTTAGTCCACTTGGTTTGGTTATGATATTCTGAACCACTTGGCTGTGCCGCTGAACAACTCAATGTGGCTATGATTTTTCTACATAGAGGGTTCTGTATTCTGGCCCTTAATTAATCAGAGGTTGATCCTGTAAGGTAAGATAGCTAGTCCATATGAGTGCTACAAAATTTTGGAGATGGAGCTTCAGCACGGAATTTTGTCCGTGAACCCAATGTAACGTTGTGTTGATGTGTATAAATTGGCGTATAGATCAAGGGCAGGCTTTATTATATACTCATTATCATGTGTAATTTATGCCGGTTCATCGCATGACAGCAGTTGCTGCTGTTTATTCGTAATGTTAAATTTGATTATGAATTATCATCAATTGATGAAATTAACCGGTAACATGATATACCAATATTCTGAATTTTCAGAACATTGGTTTCCAATAGTATGATATGCGATTTGTTGAATATATACAACAAACCCAATTAACCAATTAAAACAAGTAAACAACAAACCCAAAAACAACACTAACAAAATTTATAAGTACCTCCAAACTTGGTATTGTTCCTAATTACGAAAGTTCAAATTTATTAAAGACGATTGCTTACACTTGTACTTTGAGATTATTAACATGTGAATTGTGATACCTTGAAATTCAAGACCTACTTATACAGGCTTGCTTCTAGTCATAACCATGATACACATCTTATTCAGCAACTGAATTTTCGGATAGTATTTTTTACTGAGACAGAGTTCCGAAGTTCCCCACTTCTAAGCCATTACCTGATCATCACAAGAACAAATTAAAAACTAACAAAATCCAACTTCAGATAATTATCCTTACTAAGAAGCAGTAGAGAATCAAAAACCTACCATCTGGATCAAAGAAAAACACTTGCTTTGTCTTTCCATCAGGTTGAGTTTTTTCAAATGTCTCAATTCCCTTTTCCTGCATATCAGCAAAAACATTATAATCTCATGATTTCGACGTCAACAACAGTTGAACCGTGTACTAAAGTACAGGTTAAATTTTCTCTAAACGCAGGAATTAACAAATTTTTGTTACATTGTCATCAATACATCCTTCCAACACTTATTAAAAAAAAAGTATCATGTGCATCGCTTAAATCTAATATAATTACAATATTCCAAACAATCCAAGGGTGCGTCCTATACTCCTATAATAACTACGAGTAGTAAGGAGTACATTCTAGTAAACCCAACACTATCTCATAATTCGGGTTTACCTACTTACCATGTACATGATACAATCGAGTGTATAACTGAAAGTAACCCAACTATTAAATTATCCATTTAGGGAAAAAGCACTTGAAAATTAACAATTCCTCAGCTCTTAACAAAAATAGATAATCATAAACAAGCAGATTAATCCAAATTTGAAATAGATGAATTACCTTGAGAGAATGAACAAATTCATCGAAATTGGAAACAGAGAAGGAAACATGATGACCTCTAGGAAGGTTCTTAGGATCCTTAACAGCAGAATCAGCACTGTACGGACCTTCTGGAAGTTTCGTAGAAGGATTCCTCTGAATGAGATGGAGAGAGAAAGAAGGGGGTAGCTTCATCCATATCACCTCAAATTCACCGTATTTAGGACTCTCTATCTGCTCAAATCCAAGTACCTGCCACAAATAAATTTAATTCAATAAATCATACTGTACTACTCCCACCGTCCCAAAATAATTAATTCGGAGAACGCAATTTGAACAGATACGGTAGCAATTAAATCCGGACCGAGGGAATATAATATGGAATGAGAAAACAACCTGATGGTAGAAAGTGGCGAGGCGTTTGATGTCAGCGGATTCTCTGGCTATGTGGTTAAGGCATACTCCTTTGGCAAGCGCCATCTTTCGTGAGAATTCTTGCTGCTGATTGGTGCCTTGGATGAAATACTTTTCTACTTGGAACTTGGCTTACAACACAACGGGAATATGTTATATTGATAAATGAAAAATGGAATAATCTCAACTTTTACGTATTCGCTTTAAATAATTTAAATTTTGAATTATTATTATCGCAACTTTGGAGGTGTATTCGCTTTCTTTGGTCCCTAATTGATTACTAACTTGTTATAATAGGTTAAGGTGACACGTGTCACTATTTAATTGGTTGAAATTTAAAAAAAAAATTATAAAAATTGAAAATAAAGGAAAACTTAAAAAATAATAATAAAAAAATGCCAGCCTCCACCCACGAACCACCTTCCCCACCACCACCACAGCTGCCATAATCCTCTTTTCCACCCAAGCGCCGGTCAGAAGCCCCTCCCCTGCGCCGGTAGCTCCCCTTCCCGGCGCCCCTTTCCCCGAAACCACCATCTTCACCACGAACTCCTAAAACCCCTGAAATCTCACCCACGACCACCATCTCCACCACATACCACGACCCCTCCCGAAACCCCGCCAGCGCCAAGACGCGCAATCACCCTCTACACAACTAGCTCCGCCGCGACCAACACTAACCCACAAACACACCAACCACAAATTGCGGAATCGCGGGTTAGGTTCAGTTGATTTTGCAGCAATTCGCAGGTTGCTATGTTAAAGTCAAGAACAATTGGAGAAAACGGCTTAGCCTTGCATTGATTACATCGACAATATATAACATAATACAAAAGAAACCTAACTTGCCTAAAACTCCTAACAAGACAAACCTGACATAAATACAATATTAACATATATAAAACCAACCGACTTCTAATACTCCCCCTCAAGTTGGAGCATGTAGATCACGAATACCCAACTTGCGTAACAAAAACCCAAATTGTTGTCGTCCAAGGGCCTTCGTAAGAATATCTGCTAACTGATGATTCGTCAAAACATATGAAGTAGAAATATTACCCTTCAACAACTCATCACGAACAAAATGACAATTTACCTCAATATGTTTCGTACGGTCATGGAACATTGGATTCTTAGCTATATTCAAGGCCGACTGACTATCACAAAACAACTGCATAGACTTCGAATGTCTAACACTAAGAGCAAACAACAACTGCTTCAACCATTTCAACTCACAAGTAGCAATTGCCACCAGTATTCGCCTTTAGTCGAGGATCGAGATACGGTAGGTTGTTTCTTAGTCTTCCAAGAAACAAGCGAACGACCTAGAAACACAAGATAACCTATCAAGGAACACCGAGTCAAAGGACACCGCCGCCCAATCAGTATCACAAAACGCCTTCAAACGTAAATCCTCATAGGTTGCAACAAGATGCCTTGTCTCAGACTACCCTTAAGGTAGCGCAAGACACGAATAGCCGCATCCCAATGAGAAACCTACGGATCACTCAAAAACTGAGCCAAAACATGCACTGAAAAACTCAACTCTGGTCGAGTGACTGACAAATATACCAACCGTCCAACCAACTGACGATATTGTTTCGGATGAGCAAACGGCTCACCAGAAGCATGTGTAAGACGATGATTCTGCTCCATCAGAGTGCCAATGGGTTTGCAAACCAACATACCTGCCTCAGTCAAGATATCTTAAGCGTACTTTTGTTGGGAAAGAAAGATCCCCTCCGGACTACGAGCAACCTCAATGCCTAAGAAATACTTAAGCACACCAAAATCCTTCATATACTTGGAGTAAGATCAAAACAATCAAAGGGATTTTTGTTTTCGCCTTGAGACTCAGTGTTTGATGCAATTACCCCGTATAGGTATAGAATTCACCAAAAGGCTTGGATTGAATCCTGTAAAGTTTCTATTAAGTTAGAAATGAACCTAAGACTTACAAGTATACTATTTACTATTGAATAGTAAGGGAATAGTGTCTTGTAAGATAACTACGACAAAATTGAATTTCGAAAATGGTCAGAGGCCATAACATCCGAAACAGACTCCATGTTTGAAAATCATGTTTGAAACTTGATTAATTTGCATGAAGGGTAAAGACCCATCAATCGCAAATAAGTTTTCAAGGAGAAAACTAACAAATATGGAAATGTATATGCATACATAGCTAGATTAGTTGAAAAGGTTACAATTAAATTCACGGCGTTGATTTAATAAAACCTATTCACTAATCAGAGTGCTTAAGTCTTTTCGTGATTATTCTACCAAAATTGTGCATATGAAATATGGCAAAATAGATATCGAAACCGCCTTCTTGAAAAATGGGATTTTGGAATATGGATATATTCCAAGGGTTTTGTAAATCTAAATAATGCTAGATTTGAATGCAAGCTCAAGAAATCCATTGGTGGATTGAGGGAAGCATGTAGGAATGGAATGAGTTTTCTCATAAAGTTAATATAAGGTTTGGCTTGTTGAAAAACATGGAAATTATTTTAATAAAGAAGTTTAGTGGGAGCTAAAGTCAATTTTGTAAGGTCTAATAAGAAGTTTACGAACTCTATTGTAAATTAACTATCAAATGCTAAATTCTTAGAACTGAAAGAATTTTTCAATAATGGACCAAGCTAAGACGACACTTAGTATATAGTGGGAATTAAGATCTATTGAATAGACTTAATAAAATGTTTGACGGGTAAAGGAATTTACCGTGTTAAACATGAAGGACCTGAAAAGGCTTTCGACCAATATGTATAAAACTAAGCAAATGTTTGAACAAGTATAAGCTAGGCAAATACTAAGTCAAACAAGAAAGACTCTAGTAGAGACTTTCAACCGTATATATCATATAGCAAACAGTTTATCAAGACTCAGTGAAACTGGATGAGCTAAAAGTCACATGAATGGTATGAAATTGGGAATATTTATGCAATTGAATCCATTATGCTACGATATGGAATCGTCACATGACCTGCATGCTTAGAGCATGACAAGTTCTTGGTACCAATCGACATGAACCTAAGTAATGGATCGTTAGATTATGATCAAGAACATCCAAGGTACTTGGTTAAGTAAGAGGATGAGTTCTTGCTACATGGAAACAAATAAAATTTGAGTACCGATGTTGCGAGCACAACCTTGGCAAGGATTAGATCCTTAACGAAGAAGTCATTTATAAGCACGAGCTTAGATGCGTTGTGGCTTGAGAATGGCAACATGGACTTATGTCCATGTGTATTGTGTGGAAATTTAAGGTAAAATTCCATAATCACAAATGATCCCAAATCATTGTGAACTGGTTGGAGTAAAATCCAAGCATAGCATCATTAAAAAAACTACTGAAATATATGTTGATAACATTGTTGCCTTAAAGGCAATAAAAGGGATGTTGTTCAATGGATAGTTTGTTGTTGAACTTTGATGATTATAGGTTGCCAAGTTGAAGGTCTTAAATCATGAAAATGAGGGGGAGCCATTACTTGGGCAATAAATCATAGATCACATGTAATTCAGAGGCGGCTTCCGATCAGTAATATTAATGTATAATTAATATTATAGCTTGCTCTCGACTGAACCCTTCGGGTCACACCCAATCGTGTAACCGAACCAAGGCAGCGAATTAATCCGGAGGATTATATGAGTCGATAGAGATTTTATGAACTAAGACGTCGGGTCCCGAGCTTAGAGCGTCGAAGCCGAGTGTCGAATGTCGAGTCGTTTTGAGGAATTGACGAGACGAGAAAATAAGTCAAATGACAAGTCATCAGACCTAGCCTCGGATTGGCCAAGCCAACCGAGGACTAGGCTGCATTAGCTAGCATGGCTGTTAGCCATGGACTAGCCTCAGCAGCAGGCCCAACAGCAACGCATGTGCGCTGGCCGAGCTAGCTAGCTAGCAGCACAAGGCCTCGCAAGCATGTGAGCAGGCCGATGCTAGCAGCGCTAGCACCAGCCTGCAAGCACTCGAGCAGGCCTACCGTTAGCTCGCGTGGGCTTGCGGCATGCTAGCAGGCCCAGCTGAAGGCAAGGCCGCATGTCAGGCGAGCCTTGAGGCCCAAGGCATGTGGTCGGTCTTCTCTTAGTTGACTATGGTGAGTTGGCTTTTGCTTGCTCTCCAAGGGAAGGGGTTGTGTTCTTTACCTAACCCCTCCCTTGCATTGCCACTTGTCATTTTCTTATTACTTGTGCCATTTAATCTAATTTAGAATTAAATTAATTAATTCATTTTCTCATTTCAACAACTCTCACATGGAAAGTTGATGGATACTTTAGGGAGCATTTCCCTATAAATACCCACCGTGAATAATGGGATTTCTCAATTGAGTTGAACTCAAAAGGTATCTCCCAAAAGAATGAGAAAGCCTTAAGTTCGTAAAACTCTAGTTTTATTTGGTCTAGCCCTGTCTAAGCTACGGGGTAGGGGCCGGTTTGGGCACGAGCTTGTGAGACATTGAAGGGCTTGCACTTGCGAGTCTCGAGGTTTTCCAAGTCCAAGCTCGTGATACGAGTGACGCACGCATCAAGGGTGAGCTACTCGTATCCTTTCTTTCTCTCCCTTCCCTTTATGTGTTTATGTTTTTTAATAATTGCATGCTATGTTGTTATGTTGTAATTATTATGCATGCGATCCTTTTTTGGGTTTTGTTTCCGAGCGGTCTCGGACACTACAAAACCCAACAGCGTGTTGGGTTTCGTAGCGTCCAACACTACGCGGAAGAGAAACCCGCCCACTAATTAAAGCAACTAAGCATGCTGTCACGTAATTAAATAACAAAAGAAAGAGAAAGGGAAATGACATTCTTACCCTCGACGCGTGCTTCGCTCCTATAGTGCTCGAACTTCAAAGTCTTAGCTCCGCAAGCGCGATAGCCTCCGACGGAGTCCACCCTCGAGACCCGACCCGAACGGCCTCTACCCCGAAGGTTAGTTGGGGCTAGACCAAGAAAAGACTAGAGTATTACGAACTTAAAGGTTTTCTCACCTATAGGGAGATACCTTATTGAGTTCAACTCAAGTGATTTTTCCCAAACCCAAAACTTGGGTATTTATAAGAAAAAGAGACTTGATCTCCCTTCTCCAATCAATGTGGGAGAATTGCATTTTTTGACCAAATTATTTTTATAAAAAACAAATTAAAATGCAAAGCAATCAACAAGCTCCAAGTGCCATATGGAG